CGATTACTTCCGCAGTGAAACACTGTTTTCCGTACGATCACCGAAGTTAAGCAACGTTAAACCTGGTCAATACCTAGATGGGTGATCGCTTGGGAATACCAGGTGCATGAAGCTTGGATATTGCGGGTGATGTAAGTGGATAATCGCTCCGAACTGTTAATTGGAAAGCTGAGTTCTAATTCCCGTTGGATTCATATATATATAGATGTTTAGATAATAAAGAGACTGAAACAGATCGATCGATCGATCGATAGATAGATAGATAAACAGACTGAGGGTTCATTACATTGACTTATGCGTAAAAACTCTTGGAAAAAGTATGAATCCACATATTCTCCCCCAGCTATGTGTTAATTAGTAAGAGTTGTATCATTAAAATAAATAAATAAATAAAACTGCATACAAATTATTTATATTTCGGCATTAATAAATCATAGATGTTGATATGCCGCTAAACAAAAACATCCAATTATACACCAGTGTACACCTCAGGGGTACTCACCAATAAGCACACACACAGAGAAAGTAATCAAAAAATATAAAAAGAAATAGAGGTTCAAAAACCAGGAAATGTTTTGATCCTTTCTTATTTAGGACAATGAGAAAGTAGTTGTTGAAAAATAACGCATAGATCATTCATTACCACAAAAATATCAAGACAGTTAACTTGAAACGCAGACATCAGGGAATACCTCGGCCCTTGTTTAATGTAATGGAGAATCTTGTTTTCTGTGCAATATCATCAATTTTAGAAAACTGAATTTGTTTACAAAAGAGTTTGTGTAATAAATAGATAGATAATGAACAGACTGAGCTAGCTAGCTAGCTAGCTAGATAGATAGATAGATAGATAATCAGACTGAGATAGATAGATAGATAGATAGATAGATAGATAGATAGATATGGACAGACTGAAATGAGAATTTTTAAGAATAAAACATATGAAGCTAGAGAGAGAGAGAGGGTGGGAAGAGAAAGAGTGCATAGATCGAATGTGGCGGATGTGTATTTACACACACGCGAACAGGTGTGTGTGGACACATTGCATGTATGGAAAAATTCTTTTTAATTTAAAACAAGACAAATTCCTACAAATACGAACGCATACACATATCTTATTTGTCATCATCACTTTCAGCATACACACACACATACATCTGATACATACAATTATCTATACCTACCTATAGACATACATTTGCGCACACTGATACATACACACCCACCTATAGTAATGTAATCATTGTGTAATTGCTAATTTATGTCTATAATTTTATTCATATAAAATAAATTTAACGTCTGACCGTATGAAATGGACACCTTTAATTAATTAGCCTAATTATCGCTTTTATGCACACCTTCTAAGGCCACCTTTCACCTGGGCGTGTGTGTGTGTCGTATTCCACGTAAATTTTCTACGTAATAAAAACAAAGAAAATCATTTGAAAAATAATTGTATTTATAAATGACAGGAAGTTTGTTAAGGGTACTTGTGATTTAAACCACCTACTTGATTATGCTTGCTCACAAGGTCAGGGGTGGATGTTGGTAGCGTGTCAGTAGAGGATGTACCTTCCCGCCAATAAGACATAATATCTTTTTTGCCTTGTTGTAAATAGTCGTCTGACATAATAGTGTCTGACATGAAAGTGCATACAAAGCAGAAGTTTGCCATTAAATTGCGCTATGTAGAAAAAAGATTCGCCTAGTAATATCGACAATCGTTTATGGCAACCAAATAAAAGATGCGAGCACGGGGACATTGAAGCGTGCGACAAAAAACACGGTTCTGCTTGAGATAAACAAAAGACAATATAAGAAAAAAAAATCTTGAATTTTTAATGACTGTACATTAGTCAACTTGCATTTGTACACGCGTCTCGGTCACAAGTGTCATTGATTTGCTCTGAATAGATACGCAGAAAGAGTACACATGAATACACGTGTACCCTGCAAAAGAGTACACATGAATACACGTGTACCCTGCAAAAGTCACACATATCAATCACGAGTGCACATCTGTGGTGTGCTCACCAATCGCCATGCATTCACGCACACCTAATTACACTCATATATGTTTGCACACACACACACACACACACACACACACACACACACACACATACATATATATATATATATATGCGTTATCTCTCATCGAATTCAGAACACTGCAAATTATACTAAAGTTGGTTTAATAGAGTCAGTGTATATATATATATATATATATATATATATATATATATATATATATATATATATATATATATATTAGGATTAATAAATTTATCACTGATTGATGTTATATTCAGCAGCTCGATTTAGGAGTTTGGTAAACGAACTTTTCCGTAAAGGTTCAGTCAATTCATCCGGAGGTTTCAGCAAGTGACAAATACACATGCAAACAAACACACACACACACACACACACACACATCTATATATATATATATATATATGTGTGTGTGTGTGTGTGTGTGTGTGTGTGTGTGTAATGAATTGTTCTGACCACTCGTCAGAAGCTCATATATATATATATATATATATATATATAACGAAAAAAAGAAAAATTTTAAAAAATGGCATTTAATTCCTGAAATTTCCTGAAGAGTGGATTAAACAATTACAATTGCAAAAAATTCATCTACGAAACTCTAGAGTCGAGCTGCTGAATATAACGTCAATCAGCTAAGTCACGCATTTTATATATAAAACTCTCTCTTCGCTCTCTAAAGTCGACCATGTCTCTCATACCATCCATCACTACCTTCTATGTCAACTTATATAAGCTTAATCCTGCCCGTCAAAAGTATAAATTTCATCCTCCTTGGGATTATCCATAAGGATTACCAAGATTTTCGTTACTTATATATATATATATAAACGATCTGAGGTTTTAAATTGGTCTTGTGTCAGACTAGTGAATATTTAATTTGTAAATACACTTTATGCTTCGTTAAAAATGGATGACCAACTTGTGTTAGTAATTTTTTTGTTCTTCTTGTGTCTGAACAAGTTTAACACAATACAAAAATAGTTATTTTTAATGAATTATGCCTTAAAGAGGATTTGCTACCCAAAATACACAACTATGTATGTGTGTGTCTGTGTGTATGTGCGTGTAAATACGTTAATATGTGTGTTATTAGTAAGATTTTATTCAAAATCGACTGACAATTGTTTTTATTACATTTTCCAGCTTGCGTATAAGCTGTCGTACATCCGGATCAAACTGTGGAGAAACTGAACAATGTCCATACTGATTTTTTTTCTGGTATTTTCGACTTCCTCTAGTTATTTTACCGGTCATCATCAGGAATATTAACGCCGTTTGTCACAACGTAGAAAACTTTCTATTAGTTTCATCGTGGCATTTTTAGGAACGCCATGATTCGAGTTTAAATATATTGGCATCGTCTATAAGTAAAGAACTTCTATAGACCTTTTCCTTTAGGTTTTATTTATTCTTTCTTAGTAGAAAATATTGACATCACTCTCACACGAAAATATGATCAAATTTTTTTAGCAGATTTTAAAATACCGAACACAAAGCTTTAATTTGAGTTGTTTCTTTTAAACCAGAACTGCTTTTTGTTTTTTCCGTGAATCTTGAATAGCGTCTTCATGTTTTAATCCACTATTTCCGATGATGTTAAGGGTTCTTATAATGACCCCACTTACTTTATAGAAAGTGCTCGACCAAAAACATTTTGAATATGGACATTTTTTTGCATGAATTGCACCCGGATGTGCAATCACTTATATGCAAAATGAAAAAATATATTTTCAATAAATTAAGAAAATTTTAAGTGACTTTTCTGGTCAAGAGATTCAAGAGTTTCACATCGAAACGTTCATCAGGGCCATTTGCATGAAGCAAGTTTCAGCGCGAAACTCCTGAGTTGGCTGAACAGGTCACTACTTGGGTCATATCTAGTTATCCAGCCTGATAAGATACGAACAATTTTCACGTATTTTCTCGGTTATATTATATACATATTAGTGTAGAAAATTTTTAATTTGGAAAAAAATAAAATTAGCGGATATAAATAATACAAATTCTGTCTATCCGTCCGTGTGACTAAAACCCCAGTAACTCGGGCAATACTTATAGACATATTATATCTTTTTGGAATCGGGATGATCCTGGGGTTTAAAATCTACCCTTCATCTGGTGTTTGAATATCCAGCATTGGGATTTGTGTCCGGATGTGGAAGGAACAGTTAAAAATTCAAATTGTAAAATAAATGAAAAAATTAAGGATTTTAAAAGTTTTAAATTTATATTGAGTTTAAGGTAACACAAAAACTGTGATTTTGTTTTAAATTCAGATTAAAATATCTCCAAAACTTTGTGAATTGAGGAAATCAATTTTATTTTTCATTTATAAATGCCAAGGATTTAAAATGAGAGGTTTCGTGACGTAAGGTTTTTGAAGCTCAGTAAAGTTTGTGATTTGAGGAACTCAATTCAAATGAAGTTCCACAAAGATTGTAATTTGAAGATCTGAATTTTCGGCCTGAATTGGAATTTCGGCCAAAAATCGGATTTTCGGCCCAAATCGGTCTTTTGCCCGGAACTGGACTTATAGCTCGAATCAGAGTTAATGTGAGGTTTTGAAGTTCCTTGAAGGGAATTCAAAGTTATTTCTTCAAAATTATGATTGATGTTTTCTAAGCTGGACCAGAGGTTGTTGCTTTAGTTTTTATTGGGCCGGACGTTCAATTGGCCGTCCACAGTTGCTAGCTTATAAGTCAGCACGGAACGCGGCTTTTAACCTAGTAAAATAAATGAAGTCAAAATCCTGACAAGGGAGAAATCGCTAAACTATGAGTTGATCTTTATTGTAAATTAAGTTTGCATTTACATAGGTTGAATTATATTATTATATGTATATTAATATGTGACATTATTATTGTGCACACGTACAGACACACACAGGCACACACAGGCACACACAGATACACGCACATATATATATTGATGCATGTTTCATTAAATAATATAGACAAGTTTTGTCTATTTATTTTACGTAAGTTTCTTTCATATTGTCTGATGAGCTTAATAACTTTATCATTGAAAGACGAAAGGAAATCACCATATTGA